ATTTCGTTTAGGGTTCGGGCTCCTTGCAGTATTTATTCCTACTGAAGACACCTCTGCACCCCAAAAGCTCGACCCTAAAGCCTTAAAGAGACTGTTGATGATATAAATCCTGCGTTCCCTAAGGACCCTAAACTATGGGAATATTAGGGGTAATGGAGGATTTAGATCATCGATGGGAGGACCTGCGTCATCCCAACATTGTGGCATGCCTTGGCTTTGAATGCACGACCCTCCGGCTACAGTTTAAGGGTCAGGGCCCTAGACCCTAAACCCTAAACCCCCAAAGACCTTATTGTGTTTGAGGGGGTATGGGATTTTTGGGCCTAGATGAGCAGGCTTCAGGACTGAGGGTCCTTCGGGGTTTCCGGGTTTGGGAGGTCGGGGAATCGGGTTCCAGGGGTTCCGGTTTCGGAGTTTTTACGGTTGCAGGGGGTGTTTAGGGTTTAGGGCTTAGAGTTTAGGGGTTTAGGGTTTAGGGTTTAGGGCTTTAGAGTTTAGGTTTAGGGTTTAGGGGTTTTGGGTTCAGGGTTTAGGTGGGGTCTGGTGCTTCAGGGCGTTGTAGCCCTTCGCCCAACAGCCATTGCCGGGTTTCATGTGGGCTTCGAAACCCGAAACCCTAAACTCTCTGATATAGGGGCCTTAATAATTAGAACAGGGTTTGGGGTATATTATACTATAATTCTAACAAGGAACCCCACAAACAGCCCTATTCTAATTATTAAGGCCCTACATTATAATAGGGCTTCGTTAATTTCGGGTCGGTGCTGTTCATGAGGTCTGATCGTCTGTCAGGATGACCAGATCCCAAGCCCCGACCCTAAAGCCTAAGTCGTCCTTTCCTGGGCGTTTGGGCCCAGAAGAGCGCACTACCGACGGTTTCAGGGATCGGTAGAGCTTCGTTAGAAGTCGGGTCTAGGGTTTAGGGTTTGGGGTTTAGGGAACCTGAACCCTACACCCTAAACTCTACACCTTAAACCCTAAACAAGAAGATCCCCAAAGAACTGAGGAATGATACCTTCTACATTTACCTGGAGTATGCTGCCGGGCTTGAAAGACTTGGCGCGGAGATCAAGAAGTTCGGTTTATAGGGTTCAGGGGCTTTAGGGTTTAGGGCTTCAGGGGGTTTAGGGTCAGGGGTTCAGGGGGTTTAGGGGTCTAGGGGTTTTAGGGTTTAGGGGTCCAGGGGTTTAGAGATTAGGGGTCTAGGGGTTTAGGGCTCTAGGGGTTTAGGGTTGAGGGGTCCGGATTAGGGTCTAGGGGTTTAGGGATTGGGGGTTTAGGGGTTTAGGGTTCAGGTGTTTCCTGGTGGAGGGAGAGGAGGAGAGTTGGGGGTTTAGCATTTTGTTTTTTTTCGTTTCGGGCTTACGGCTTCCTTTGGGGTTTAGGGGTTTAGGGCTGTTTAAGTTTATATTGAGTTTTGGCGTCTATCGACCCTTCTGTTATGGTTTGGGGTTTGGGGTTTAGTGTTCCGACCTTGGGATCGAAGTGAGGTTTTTGCAACACCTCCGAGCACACAGAGCATCCCTGCGGAGCAGTTTTGCTTCGGATCGTGGCGGCTCCAGGTACAACGGTCCAGCCCTGAAGCCCTGCGCCCGACAACCTTAGACTACCAAGGCCCTTAACCCTAAACCCTAAGCCCTAAGCCCTAAACCCTAAACCCTCAGCCATAAACCCTAAGGCCTAAGCCCTAAACCCTAAACCCTCAGGCCTAAGTCCGAAATCCTAACGCCCAAGACCCTAAGACCTAAAACCCTGTAGCCCTACACCCTAAACCCTGAAGAAAGCTCAGCCCTGGCCCTAGAAAACCCTATGAAACCTCGAGACAACATGTGGGTAGTTCTGTAAACTAGGGTCTCTTTCAGGGTCCTTTTTTTATACGAGTGCCGCACTATCTAGGGGATCTAGAAAAAGACACTAATCTAGAGAACTACCCATGTGCAAGCCCTACAAGGCCCCACAAACCTTGATCTCCCCTAAACCCTAAACCCTAAACCCTAAACCCTAAACCCTAAACCCTAAACCCTAAACCCTAAACCCTAAACCCTAAGGAAGGCTCTTGAGACTCGCACCAACTTTCTACCCGAAATCATGATCCGAAGCCTCAGCCCTAAGCCCTAAACTGCCTGAAATCCTAAGTAAACTCTCCCTAGTAAAGGTGCCTAAACCCTAAACCCTAAAAGCCCTAAAACCCTAAAGGCGCCTAAACCCTAAAACCCTCAAGGCGCCTAAACCCTAAACCATAAAACTTAAAACCCTAACCCCAAAACCCCAGAGGCGCCTGAACCCTAAAAGCCCTAAGCCCTAAAACCCTACAGGCGCCTACACCCTAAACCTTAAAACCCCAAAACCCTAAACCCCAAAACCCTAAACCCTAAAACCCTACATAAACCCCCAAAACCCTGAACCCTAAAACCCTACATAAACCCTGAGATCCCGAACCCTAAAACCCTACATAAACCCCTAAAGCCCTAAACCCTAAAACCCTGCGCAAACCCCTAAAATCCTGAACCCAAAAACCCTAAACCCTAAACCCCTAAACCCCTAAACCCTGAACCTAAAACCCTACATAAACCCTGAAATCCCGAACCCTAAAACCCTAACCCCTAAACCCCTAAACCCTAAAACTCTACATAAACCCCTAAAATCCTGAACCCTAAAGCCCTAAACCCTTAACCCCAACACCCTGAACCATAAAACCCTACATCAACCCCTAAAATCCTGAACCCTAAAACCCTAAACCCTAAACCCCAACACCCTGAACCATAAAACCCTACATCAACCCCTGAAATCCTGAAGCCTAAAACCCTAAAACACTAAACCCCTAAACCCCTAAATCCTAAAGCCCTACATAAACCCTGAAATCCTGAAGCCTAAAACCCTAAAACACTAAACCCCTAAACCCCTAAATCCTAAAGCCCTACATAAACCCTGAAATCCTAAAAGCCTACATAAACCCCTGAAATCCCGAACCCTGGGCCCTCTGGGGTTGGAGCCCTCGGCGCAGCTTTCCGAGGTGCCAGGCGGCTCCATGAGCAAGCTGCTAAAGGAATTCGGCCCACTAGCCGCTGGGGCCGCGTTTTTTTTTGCGGTGTGGCTCTTAGGGTTTAGGGTTTAGGGTCTAACGGAATTCGGCCCACTAGCCGCTTGGGCCTTTAAGGTTTAGGGTTTTAGGATTTTGAGGTTTATGTAGGGTTTTAGGAATTCCGCCCACTAGACGCTTGGGCCCGCCATTGTTTTTGTGGTTTAGAGGGGAGGCTCTTAGGGTTTAGGGTTTATAAGGGTTTAGGGTTTAGGGTTTATAATGGGGTGTCGGGTTCAGGGTTTAGAGGTCTTTAGGTTTTTTTTGTTTTGGGATGGTCCAGAGGCCTCACACAGCTGGGTTTGTGCCTACCTTTTTGAGCTCCCAGATGCTATGATGTCAATGGCTGTGAGTTGAACACACGCTAAACCCTATAAGCCCCAAGCCATAAACGCTAAGCGTCATGGCCGGGGGCAGACTAGATGCTTTTCAAACCCGATGAAGCTGACAAAGACGGACGCACTTCAAATTGAGCAAAAAGCTTACGGAGCTGCGACAGCTCTTACCACGAGCTCCAAAACCCTGTAGTATAGGGGCCTAAATAATTACCAATACTATCGTGGGGGATCCTTATTAGATTGATAGTATGGTGGGCCCCAAAACCCTGTTCTAATTAGTGAGGCCCCATTAATTCGTTGCACCCGCCTCTTGTAGTCGAATCAGTCTTGGGTGTCAGTGGGTTTAGGGTTTAGGGTTTAGGGCTTTCGGGTTTAGAGTTTGCCGTCGTGGTAGAGTTTACTGCTGGCTCGGTCTGCTTCCTGAAGGACTGGTTCTCCAGTAGTACCCTTTTGCACTTCTTGTTCTAGGGTCTCCCTATTAA